ATATATATATATATATATATATATATATATATATATATATATATATATATATATATATGTTATAATAGCATACTGTTTTTTAATTAACTAATATATAGTCTTTCATTCATTTACTTACTTATCTTAAGCATAATGAAATATAAAAAAGGTTTAATGTTGAGAATAGTTTTGATCTTTACTAGTGTGATTCTATCGCCAAGTTTCTTGAAGGTGATCAATTATTTCTCGATACAAATGTTGCAAAATGTAGTATATTTTTTATTATGGTTGAATGTCTAGTTTTCTTTTCAAGGGTAAATTACTATCATAAATTACATAAAAAATTTTGATCTGTAATTATATACATAATGCTCACTTTACAAATAAACATAATTACACAAAATTTTTGAATTGATTAAAGCACTAATGTATTGCTTCTATGCCCAATATAACTTACACTAAATTGTCCCATATCAATTACACTAGTGTTATCTTTTGAATTTAGAAATAGAAGTTATTAAATGTTGGTGGCTCATCATGCAGTGCATTTGAGAAGGGCATGCTTACAAAGTAAATATAATTTTACTATAAAAAGAGCATTTTTAATACCGCAATTATATTAAATACTTGATATACATAAATATATAAGCTGGTCACAACAATCCAGTCAAAAATTTCTTTAAAAAAATCAATTTAGTGTTGAGAATTTCGTATTTTTTGATGTTTGATGTTATGTTTATAAAATAATAATTATATATATGTGTGCGTGCGTGTGTGTGTGTGTGTTGTTTATTTTCTCTTTATTTTTACATACTTATCTTGACAAACTTTTTTAGGGTTAAGACTGTTTTCCTGATTCCTACAGCAAAAAAAAAACTTTAAAATGCTGGTGGCAATATTTTAAAAGAGTGCATCTGATCGAAAAGAAGATGAATGACGTCAACTGTTCGAACATTCGATTCTTGGAAATTAACAAGTGGAAAAAGAAGTATTTACAAATTTATATTACAAATTTAATATACGAAAAAAGAAATTTCAAAATTGTAATTTATAAAACTCAGCACAATTATATTATTAAAAAATTTAAACGATTTATTATTTTTTTTTTATTCTCAAGAAGTTCTGTGAAAACATAAATTTGAACCTTACGTTTAAGTAAAGCCATGTATAAACACGTATTTTAACGTCGAAATGAGAACGTCTAAATTAGGTTATTTAAAGACGTCATTCGGCGTTTCCATTTAGCACTAGTTCTGAACGTCTTAAATTCACGTATTTTAGACGTCTAAAAACACGTCTTTATTCCGTCATAAAAAGACGTTCTAATTACGTCTTAAAAAGACGTCACTTGGCGTTGCCATTTCGAACCAGTTCCGGACGTCCAAAAAAGACGTCCTTTCGACGTCAAATGGACGTTGCCGTGCCCGCTGGGTGCTTGCGCGCTTCATTTAAAAAAGTTGTCCGCGGCCATAGTTTTTCGATTATATGTTATTCTTGATGTAATCCTGTTTTTTACCGTTATTATTCTAAGATAATAATAGTTTGCATCAAATTTTTGTTATTGGTTCATTTAATTGAGTAAATGAATCAACAACTCAATATTATCAAAAAGAAGTACTTGTGACTCGGAACGCAAACTTGGTTGTCTTCTCAAAGAGGATGTTAACAAAGAGATAAAATCAATAAAGAAATATATTGTTATGCTATCTGCTGTTGTTTTTAGTGCATCTAATATTCTTCATACATTCAGAACAACAATAAAAAATTTTCCCCGGATGTAATTTTGTCATAAAAAGACAAAAGCGCTATAAGTGTTTTTTCATTATTTATATCATATATAATTATTTTATTATCATATACAATTTGTTGATTTATTTCTATCATATATAATTTGTTGGTATCCTTAGTTTCGACTAGATTGCTGGTTTACAAACTTTTTATATATATTGATCCTTTAAATATACTTTGATTGGTGCGAAAAGAAAACAGTTTTAATCTTAATACTTAAAAACATTTTTTTTCATAAACTTTTGCCAAAAACACTTTACCTTATTTTTACTAAGGAATCGAGCTAAAAAGTATTACTTATGGGCAATGATGCAAAAACAATTTACAGACTGTCACAATCATGCCACATTAAGATAAAAACTGTTTCTTTTAGGCAGGGATGTGGAGTCGTAAAAAAAAAAGTAATGACTCCGACTCCAGTTGTTGAAATTTTGATGAGTGCAACTCCGACTCCGACTTCCACTCCAACTCCAAAGCAAATTTTTTAAAAATTTCTTTGAATTCTTAAAAAAATATTACGTGATAAGTTAATTTTTTTTTTTTTTTTTGACAAATTTATGAAAAGTTCTTTGAGGCTTAGAATGAACATAAGGTTATTTTAATGTTTTGTACATGCACGTACAAAGAAGTTTTACTATTGGAGTCGCGATTTTGTTTAACGACTCCGACTCCAACTCCGCTAAAAATGTCGCAACTCCGACTCCAACTCCGACTTCGACTCCACAGCTCTGCTTTTAGGTGTATTTTTTGGGTGTGATCTGAAGAAAGGGAATAGTGACATCCTTAATAAATATTTATTATTTCTACTTATATCTAAAGTTTTTTCAATGTGTTTTTGGGGATTTTTTACGCTGTATATAGAGCACAGTGGGACTGGTTGAACAATATGGTGCAGCAGAGGTAATTTTGGCATGTAAAATATCTTAAAACTACCCATTGCGTGACTAATAATCTAATGGGTGAAAGGTAGGGAATTAGAATGGTAAAGCATTACGCAAGCTTTTGGACTTCGCAATTGTAATATATACGGCAAGAAGAAGTTATCTGAGTAAGACAGTTAAGTAAGATGAATGGGCACATTTTATACCTTGAGATAACAAATTTTATAAATATTCAAGCAAACTTTTTCTCATATATGCGTATAACACTTTTTATCTGGCATTACTTAATTATTTAAGTATTACTTGGTTATGTAAGTATTACTTGATTATGTAAGTATTCCTTAATCATGTAAATATTACTTAATTATGTAAGTATTATTTAATTACGTAAATATTAAGGTCCAATAAATGTGCAAATGATCAACACTTAAGTGTTGATAATTGAAAAAAGACCTATGAAGTTATAATTAGACGTCTTTTTTCTCTTACTCTTACCGAACTCTTTATAATCTAACTAATGTCACCTTGCCTATATATATATATATATATATATATATATATATATATATATATATATATATATATATATATATATATATATATATATATATATATATATATATATATATATATATATATATATATATATATATATATATATATATATATATATATATATATATATATATATATATATGTATATGTATATATATATATATATATATATATATATATATATATATATATATATATATATATATATATATATATATATATATATATATATATATATGTATATATATATATATATATATATATATATATATATATATATATATATATATATATATTTATATATATATATATATGTATATATATATATATATATATAACCCTGACGAATAATTTTAAATGTATTCTACAACATAGATAATAAATTAGTAGAAATCACTTATCAAAGGTTTTTCATTTAACACTGTTTTTTATCAATTAAGGCTCCTCAGAAATGAATGTTCAAATTATTAAAACTTCAATTTATATCAAAATTAAATTGCAAGAATTCATAGATGTCTTAGCTACAGTAAATTTTCACAGATTTGTCGAATATGCTGACACAATTATAAAAAGAAATCATTAGAATTGTTTACTTCTGCATGAATATATTTTTTAAGGGGGGATTGAATGTAAATATTTTATTAAAAAATGAAAATAAAATAAACTCGAATTTATTGAATCCGACATTCAATAAATACGCCTACGCATCTAATATTAGATCGATTAATATTTATTAAAATAAGATAAATGTATATTTATTTCAGAAACGTTTATACGTTTAAAGTTTATATATTTTTAACAATATTGTAATCACCAGAAATGATGAACGAATGTAACAATTGTTTGTAGAAAATTTTATTTATTATACCTGGGACTAATGCTATAAACAGATCGAAGTTTTTTTTGGAAAATTTTTTTTAGTAAAAACCTAATTTTTAAAGTTTTTTGAGAAAACGTTTAAACGCGAAGTTTTTAACACTGTTTCATTTTTTCTTAAGAAAACATACCTTTTAACATGAAGTTTTTAACATTGTTTTTTTTTTGGCCATTGTTATAAAAAAGATGAACTTTGTATTTAAAAGTTACTAAAAAACACCGTAAAAAAAGATTGCAATAAAATATCGTCGAAATGACCGTATCAATTTTTGTTCAATGTTGTTTTTTTTATATAAAATTTAACAGATTTTATTTTTAACAACTATAATTTATAAAAGCTCTATAAAAATCAGGAGCTATAGGGCGAAGACGAGGTTGTTTTTTTTTAAAAAAAAATGTAACTAATATATGGGACCAAGCGTGTAATAAAGAATGGTGCGGGGTGACCTTATTCAAAAGGTAAATGAAACTTATGTTTTTTCAGCTACTTTCAAACCATAGTTAATATTTTAGAGAGGAAACAGGGGACATCAAAAACTTATAATCGTACTGAGGAATTGTCTAAAATTTGTTGCAAACTCATCGTCTTTTTTTATTGAACGAGAAGAAATTAAAGGCGCCTTTAAAAAGGGATTCATAATGAAATAATTCACAAATTTAGACAAAAAAATAATTAAAATATTAACATTTTCTTCTTAAAATTTTTTTTTCACTTTATTATTTTTTTTATATAGCTCTTTTCGATAAAATTATAAAAAAAAGAACTTAATTAAAACAATTCGAAACCTAATTAAAAGGAAATTAATACCTATACAACGATTTTTCTAACTTTTAAATATAATAAAAAAGAGCCTTAAAAGTGTTTTATTTATTTTAGTTCACTCATTAAATATATGGTAAAAAAAAAAATACTAAAGTAAATATTTCAGAACAACTAAATCTTTATTGTAAAGCAACGTAGCCATCTTTTAAAAGCAATCGCGTTGTTTTAATCTCTTTCAGCAATTGAAGTCAAATGTTCGTCTATTTCTAATTCTGTTAAGACTCTAAACAAAAAAACAATTAAAAAAAAAAAAAAACCATTTGACTTGAGAGTAAATTTTAAATTTAAATTACTAACTTGAATAACCCGTCTTTGCAATCAACTAAAGCTACTTCGATTTCAGATGGCTTAAAATCCACAGATAAAATCGACATTAGACATCCAATTGCAGTCTATTAATAAATAAAACACGAGATGATTAATAAACTCAACGTTAGCATGGCTCAACAACTTTTTTCATTTTAAATTTTAGAATATATAAAATTAGAATAAGGTTAAACACCATTTCTAGTTTTTGCATATTCATACTTTTCACATATACGAATAACTATTTTTTTATATAATTATTTGATTGGAATAATTAAATAATTTGCAAAAAAACATGAATTAAAAAAAAAATCATTTATCATTCGTTTATAAATTAAACTGAAAATACTCTTCAGAAATATATGCATTTAAAGATTCGTCGTTCAGTATTGTTCTTTAATTTGACACCATGATTGAAAATATTAATAACACTCACTGTGGAAGTTAGTTTTACTGTTAGAAGAGCATTATATAATAAATCCAAACTTTTAAATCTTATTCTAGTGGCTTCATATTTTTGAAATTTGTTTAAAGAAATAAAATTATCCCCATTGATTGGCATTAAAGAATTTTCTGTTTTGCTAAATTCAACTCATAGGAAACAGATGAGGTTCATGTTCAGGCCCAATGTATAAAATTTCTGCATTCTCTTTACCATTACTTCGCCCTGTAGTTGCTTATGTTGGGAATAAGTTTAAATTGTTTTTTGAAATATGCTTAATGTCACGTTTTTTAGTGAAATGGAAACCATGTATTTTCTTTTGATGAAGATAAATTATGCAGAAACATCAAAAGTGAAACCTACAGTTTATGTCTTAACTGATTTAAACGTTTGAGTAAAACGTCTCAGAAATTTAAGCACAGCTTATCTACACTTGTTCATTAAAAATATGACAATCGTTTTTTCAATATGATAATGTGGCATCTCTTTTGCTTAGTGCTTTTATAGCAACTTTTAAAGGAGACTGTTAATATATCCTTATAAGTATTAAAATTATTTTAACAGTATTTAATTAATTGAGACTGATTTTTATACAGCAAACAGCTCGACAAACCTTTCAACTATTTTCTAGAAACCTTTATGAGTACTCTATCTGGTTTTACTATCTTTTATTAAAGTAATTTCCATTTTAATATCATTTTTTGAATTTCTTTTATGGCCTGTTTATAATTTTGTTGAAGAATAAATCATAAATAAAAATCAAATGGTCTTAGTTATAATTTTTAACAAATAGTTCATCAGTTTCAACTTCAATTCAGTTTCTTTTCTAATCTAAAAGTAATTAACAAACTTCATCATCGCATACTTCTTCACAAAAATCCAGTTTGTCACTCTTTCTTGCAGAAAGTATTGATCACCGCATTTGCATGAATGTCCTGTTCACTATGTGTAATGCATGATTTGCATTACACAAAGTGAAAAGGACTTTCATATTTAAACTAACATAAAATTTGCACCAGCAGTTATTGAAGCAACAATATGTTTTAAAGTTTCCAAGTTTTTTTAAGTAATTGAATCTATCGATGTTGTATTTATAATCTTGTCAAAACTCTATTTGCCAAATGTTTTTTTTTTTCAAAAGGTTTTGGAGCACGGGAATGATTATTAAAGTTATTAAAATAAAGTAAAATCTAGAAACCGAACTTAAAAAAAAAAAAAACATTTCTATTATACAATTACTAAAATATATAAAATATTTCATCATACAAAAAAAAATCTAGTATTTCAAAAAATAAGAAAGAAAAAAAATGTAAATATTTAAATAAAATCTACACACCTCAATGGCTTCTTTGGATGTAAATGAAGTTTTTTTTTTAAATTTTTTTTCTAAGTAACTATTGGCTTCATTTTGTTTGACACCAGCACTGGTTGCTTTATAACCACAAAAATATCCAGCAGGATCTGTTTTATACAACAGTGGGTTCCCATCTTCATCTACTCCAATTAAAATCATACCTAAAGAATAATTTCTGCCCATTGAATAATATAGAAAATGCAAAAACAAATTTACGAGTCAAATAATCATAGACAGGTATCCAACCCAAAAGTAAATCTTAACAAAAAAAGCATTTTAATTAAATAATACCCCATTAACACCAACAGTAAAACAAATTTTAATTGCAGTTTTAATTTTTATATTTAATCATTTCTACCAAATTTAAAACTGGTTTTAATTTAACTCCAGAATAATAAAAGCTGTTTTGATAAAATATTGTCAAAAGATTATTTTAATATTATTTATCAAGTCATTTTGTGTGAATTGGGTACAAAAGCTTTATAAAAATTTATGATAGATGTCAATGAACAATTTACTATCTATGGCTGGTCCTCATCAATAATATTATCAAAATTAATATTAAAATTTCTGAATGTCAATTAAGTGTGTGATGCAAAACTCTTTATCATTTTAGAGCATCAAACAACTTGTTAAATAAAATAGCTCTAAACTTAAAACAGGTTGTTATGACAAACTTTTATTTTTCATAACAACCTATTTAACAAGCCACTTATAACAAGTTTAATATTATTAATATTAACTATTGATATATATTATATAATTTGTTATATTTAAGAATAGTAAAGTATATTTAATTAAACATATAAATCATTAACTTACAGCAAGCTAAAGGTCTCATTTCTGCATTTTGAGTATAAATTTGAGATATATCAGCTATTCTTCTACAAAGCATTTCAGCAGATATATCATAACCAAACTTGTATTTCCATTCAGCTGCAATCATCCTGGCACGCTGCACTTGATACCTGCAATCAGCTATAAAAACAAACAAAAAAAGTTATTCTTAATAAAACATGAATATTCAAACAAATTTATTTTGATGAACAAATTCTAGCATTCATGTTTTATTTAATTTTTATTTCAAAATAAAATTATTTTTAAAGAGTAATGCTACAATTAAAATCTTTAACCAACATACTATATAACACACTAATATACCCAACCTACGATCAAAGTGAAAACAATGTTTTATTTATATACATTTTGTGTACAAAATACTGAAACATACTATTCTAATAAATAATCAATAAATACAAAAAAAGACATCCTACCCATCATTCCAGTCATGACACATCCAACTGTTGATGTTATTTTGAACATTTGTGTCATCGTAGAGGCATCAAGTAGTTTGTCCTAAAAGTAACCTTTTCATAATAAATAAAAATAATAATTAAAAACAGTAAGTATATATGGTAGAAATGGTAGATTACCAAAATATTTTACTAAAACTTGAATAGTTCGCTAGTTAAAGCAAAAATTTATCCTTTTTTTAGATAAATGAGCTTTACGAAAAGAAAAACTATTTTATATAATTATTTTGATAAATATAATTAGAAGTTTAATTTTAAAAAACATTTTTTGTTTGTTCATAAATTCCAATACGCATATTTAATTACGAATACAAAATAGAAAACTTACAAGCCCCCCCCCTTCCCTATTTTTTGGGTATTTTCTTCTTTTTGAAGCTGTAGCAACTTTTTTTTTCTTTAGATACATTACCAACATTAATTTATATTGAAAAAAATCAACACTTTATAAGTTTGTGTACACAAACTTAACCAGAATTTTCATTTTTGGGTACTTTTTGGTTTAATTTAATTTATTTTAAGTAGTAATAATAACTAAATTTTTTTTTTTTTACATGTTATTGATTGAAATTAAATTTTTTTCAAAATAGTGTTTATTGTTTTTTAATTTGATCTTTCCAAATTTAAGTTATTTTGGGCTACATTTCCTTATTTTTATAATGATAGATTTTAAATTGAAATTTAACTTGATTGCAATAAAATACTATAATTATTTTTTATAGTTTTATTTGGTTTGTTCACAGTTTTATTTATTAAAAAAAAAAATATATATATAATTAATAATGATTAAGTTACAACATTTTATTAAAATTTCTGGAATCAGAATTCATCCATAAATAACTGTTTCTGCAGTATGGTTTTTTACTTAAATTAAATATATGTTTATTAAAAACATTTATAATTAACTATTTTTATAATCTTAATCATAAAAAATAAAATCATTATATATTCAGCCATAATAAAAAAAAAATTCATCAAATAATAAAGCTTAAATGGAAAATGGATAAACAACTAACTTTAGTTATTTTTTAAATAAATTGTATCGGCTTAATTGGAAATGGCATGCAATCACATGCTATTCCTGACAATGCATATAATATTTTGTTGCAACAACATGACTGCTGCTTCTTATATGTTTTGAGAACATTTAAAATATTGAGCGAAAATAGCTTAACTAGACAGAAAGCTTAACAAAGAACAATTATAAAAAAACCTTTATTAAAAAAACGAAAGAAATCTTAACAACCGAAAAAAAATAACCTCAACTAAAACAAAACAAAGCTCAAAAAATTATAACTGAATGTGAAGATTTTAATAAATAACGTTTACAATTATGAATTAATAACTTCAAAACTTCAATTTTTGGAAACGAAGTAAACTCAAATGTTTTTGCTTTAGAGACTTGAAACTTTTTGAAAATTACTTAAATATTATAAATTAATATATACACAACAATATATATATATAACTAAAAAGGTTAACATAATTTATAAAGAGGAAGCAGAACTGCTTCACAATACTGCTGATAATGTTTAGTGAGCAGGTTTTTTAATTCTAACTCTGTTCTAGTTAACTTCTGGCGCAATGCTGGCTCCCTTTAAGTATTTTTATACACTTTTGTTCTGCTTAAACATCTGGTGTGGTGTATATTCACCTGTAAGTAAGTACATGTAAGTTTGTGTTCTGTTTAAGCCTCTGGCATGGTGTTCAATCACCCATATATTCCTATCTGTTTATTTGATTATTAGTTTTATTAACTTTAATGATTGTTACAAAAAAATTATCATAAACTTTTATATTATAAAATTTATAATAAAAAATTAACTTATAAAACCTTTTTTAAAATTTGTGTTCAGGTAATATTAAGCATATATCATATTTTCCTTGTTACGCTTTGAGAATACAAGTTTTTTGCTGTATTTCAAAAAGTCCTGCATCTAGTTATATAAGTATGTCATTGTTGCAAATACGATTGTAGTTCAAAGTCTCGTTGTTTATATTATCAGCGATACAAACTGTTTTAAAAGATTTTTATAAAAAATATAGACTTTTTAAATAAAAAAATTAATATATATTTACAAATAAACTTTATATAATTTATACAAAATATAATTTTTATATAACTTACTAAACTTATTATATATTTTACTAATAAAATTTACTATGTAGAGTTTAATTGGGGTAATATGAGCATACTAATAAATTTCTAAAATGTAAGCAGTGAAGTTAAAGTTACTTTGTATGTTTTGAACCGACTTTATGTGCTTATAAAAGAAATCAGTATAATTAGAGCAAATATATATGCAGTAATTAGCGGCTCTCATTTAATTAAAACTTTAAAAATTTTTAGCAATTTTTAAATATTATTATCTCACATGAATAAATGTGTGGCACAAAATTTTGATGCTAAAATATTGAAATTTTTTATAAAGAAAAATATGTTATCTAGAAATCCGTTCCACTTTTGTTTGAAAAACAATGCATTTAGTTTTGAATTTATTTAAAGATATCATTTTTTGTGAATGTGAACATGCTCAAATTACCCAGTGTTTTTTATTGGAATTACCAAGTTTGAAGTCCTAAAATTGCAGTAGTTTTCATTGCTGTTTGTTATTTTTGTACAAACAATAACTATTGATTTTTTTTTTAAGTCCTAAAATTGCAGTAGTTTTCATTGCTGTTTGAATTAAAAAAAAAAAACTTAGTAAAAATTTTTAATATTTTAACAATAGTATATATCTTTATAATTAATGAAAATTTAAAAAAATTTTAATTTTATCGTTTAAAGGTTTGCATTATTAAAATTGAAAAAATAGCGAACTAATTTTTTTTGTTATGTGTAAAATAAAGCATTATTGTTTCAATAAAAAGTGGCTTAAAATTTTATCTTTAAAAGATAAGCTTTGTTAATAACGAATCATTATATTCCACAAATTAGTTATAATTGTCAGAATTATATTTTTATTTGGACCTACATTAACTTGAATATTCATAAAACATCTGACAAGCCATAAGCAAGTTGTCACAACAAAAAATTATAAGGACAGTCAGGTGTAATTCCACGCTATCTCTGATCAAGCTTGTTTTTGGTAAATTTTATGGTTAAACAGCAAAGCAAATTAATAATGGTATATCTGATTAAATTAAATTGTTAAAATCAAAATGTGTGTATCCATAATATCTTTAAATATAAATTGTTTTATATATGATCCTCTATGCAGAAAAAGTTAAGTTTTAGTTCTAACAATCTTTGTTTAACCACATGCTACTACCCATTTTTTTACTCCATTGTCAATATGGCTAATATCAAACTTATAACTTTGATAATATATAAATTGTGTCACTCTGTATTTCAATTTGTTATTGTTGGCAACTTTAATTGACCAAAAATTTAATGGCTGAATTACACATCACCAAATAAAAAATGCTCATCTTATTTTAAAATTTAGTCAATAGTTATTGTTTGTACAAACGTTCAAGAACCCACTTGTAAAAACAGCATTTTTGATCTTATCTTTTCAAATAATGTTTTCTGGTTTAGTCTTATTTCTGTTGAGTATTTTTTCAGCACCAGCAACCATAACACAGTCTATTTCTTTATAAATACGAATGATTTAAACAGCCAAAAAATTTTTTGAATATTTTAATGACCTTGTTAATGCTGATGATGATGTTTTTCAAATACCAATTGTGAATTTTGTTATGTTTTAACAACTGGAGATCCTTGGAACATTTTCTCCCATTATTTTCACAATAATTATCAACTTGTTTCAATTAAAAAGATTCATCTTATCAAAAAAAGCAATCACAATCCAAGATTTATTTTTAAAACGTTAAATTCTAAAGCAAACTTACGAAAAAGATTGTTGATAACTAAAAGAATTCAACACAAAACAGCATATGATAAATTAAAACAACTAAAAATTTCTATCCTCTAATTGACAAAAATATCAAGGACAACTTAACTTCTAAAGCAAGCAAATTGCTGACGTAAATAGGATACTAAGTAACAAAGTTGCTGACGTGTTTAAAACTAACAATTTGGAAGTGTTTTTACAAAAGGTGAAAATATTCTCCTCTTACTAATAGTTATGTAAATGATTCAAAAATATTTTCACCAAAACTAGTGCCTAAACCTTTAACAGAGATTAAAACCAGCATATCCTATGGTTCTAATGGTATAGCTCGTATACTTCTGAAAAGTATACTAGCTATTTTATTAGTATATTAGTTCATTTGTTGTCCACTTTTATTTTCTATTTCATGCCAATTTCAAGTTAAGTTTTTTACAAAAACAAAATTCCCTGGTTTTTTCTATAATTTTTTTAAAAAGAGCTACTGCGAATCTAAATAATTATAGACCTATCTCATTGACATGCACATATTTATGCATAATGGAAAGACTAATCTTTATATTTCAAAAAAATAAATAATTTTATAATATATTTTTAAGACACCTTAAGGTTTACAATAATATAATGATGGAATGTTGCATTAATTCCTGTACAAAATATTTTAATTGTAAATTTTTATTCTGTATAAAAAGGTCAGTAAAACTCTTTTATAAATAAAAAGCATAAGTATCCCTTATAAAATTAGCTTGAAATATTAGAATAATTTAAAATACTTTTAAAATATATATTTTTGACACACATTTCAGAAAACTAAAAATTACTAGAAATATCAGGAACTCTATGTATCTGTATAAAAAAAAATCTTTGTAGGAAATGCAATAGTATCTACATTGAAAAGATACCAAAAAAACTTGTTCTTTAAAAAGTATGTAATGAAATTAATTCAATTCACACCCTACAGAAATCCCCTACCTTTGTTAGTCATTACTAATTATTAAATAAAATTTAATATACTATAATTAACTTACAGGAACTTTTTTTTGTGTTACAACAACAGCACAGTCATTTCCACGAACTCCGATTGAAGTTGTACCTCCTTGATTAATTGCTTTGAATGCATATTCTATTTTAAAAATAGAACATTTGACAAATAAATGGAAAGATTCAAACTCTTTTTTTTTGTAATAATAAATTTATATATTTTAAGTATAATTCAATTAAAACAACTAAACAAAAGTGTATTTATGAGTAATATGTCTATATTACTAATGAGTAATATGCTTATATATATATATATAAGTATATATATATATATATATATATATATATATATATATATATATATATATATATATATATATATATATATATATATATATATATAATATAATAATTAACAACTATATTTTTATTACAATTTATGCACTTCAATTAGACTAAGTAGTCTTATTCAATTTTGCATAAATTTTGAGAAAATTGGCAGAATGTCTTACATTGGATGAATCTTTCACAATTAAATGAAATGGCAATGCTGTAAGAATTTGTTAGAATCAGATATTGAATCATTAATGTGTTGTAGAGCTTAATAGTTTAGCAACTCTAGACATAGTTAAGTAAAAAGGTTTTTAATCATAAATTAACATAAATAACAACTTTTATGTTTAAATTAATTCCATTGTTTTGAATACCTTTCTTCCCTTCGTTTCATTGCCAACCAGGATAACAAATTACTTGAAAACTTTAATTAATAACAAATTTAATAATTCAACTAAATATTTTTATAGAAACCTAACGACTACAGTATCAGATTATTTGCCTTTATTTTTAATACATCCCTCTTATAGATTCAAAATCAATCCTCTTAAAAGATGTATTTTTCATGAAAAAAAATTCAAAGAATAAATTATGAAAATTTAAATTATGAAAATTTCAAAATTTTTCAAAATTTAACTGGACTAATGTAACAAACATCTTCAAAAAGAAAACTAATAAGTCATTAAAAGTGATTTTTTTTTCAAAAATTTTAATTTTATTTTAGGTAAGCATCTATCATTAAATGTCTTACTCAATCTTCACATTAGTGTCTTAACCATTCAAAATTAGATTTCAATAAAAAACAACCTATGCCAGGTTAGATTAATAACATTTGCATTTTGCCTATGGCGTAGCTATAACAAAACAAAATTTAGTCCAATCTTCAATCTTTAAAAATGAAAGAGCTTTATATAAATATGTCATTCACTGCTGTAAAAAAAATACTATAAAAACAGAAAAGCTGGCAAACAGTTAAGCAAATAAGAACTATACTAGTTTCTGGTCTACTGCGACCTGTATTTTCAGAAATAAATGTAGCCTTCCACTTTCTATTGCCTCAGATCCTGAAAATATATACCACATGTGATATAATAACTATTGCACCCTGTTTAACTCAGTCAAGCCAACATGCAATATAAATGATACCTTTATGTTAAAACACTATAATCTTTTTAAGGATGATGTCCAAATTGTCAATCCTGATGAAGTCCTATTTATCATAAATTATATGACCTGTGGAAAAGCAGCTGACCATTGTGGACTTCAGTTGAAACATTATCTTTATGCTAGCTTGAATTATTTTAATATATTATCATTGTTTTTTGTTTTTTTTTGGTTTGTCATGAACATATTGGTACTTCAAACTGTTATTTCTCTAGCGATAAAGAAAAGAATGGTGATATCTCTGATTCTGCTAATTATCGTCTAATTGCTTTGATTACAACTTTCCCCAAGATTTGAAACATATTTTTGTTTCACCTGCTAATAAAAGTTTTATTGGAATCCCAACCAATTCAGATTTAACATTATTTATTTTAATCATTGTATATTTTTTATCTTGGGCCTTGAGCCTGTCAATAAATTTGATTGATTGAATGAAATAAGTTTGCAATCAAGTATTTTATGAACTAAAAATCCTAAAACTCCCCAATTTCGGAAAGTTATAAAATTTTATATACAGTATTTGATCATCTTCAAAATAAATTACTAAAGTCTTTTTTAAAATTTTTCATTAAAATAAATAAAATACAACAACATTACAATAGGAACACAGAAAATGGTAAACTATACTATTTTAGAATAACCTAAAAACAAATCTTTAAAATATATATAAAACATTCAAAAATCAAAGGCGTTAAAGCATTTTTTTAATAAAATTAAAGCCAATCTACAACTCTACATACTTACATATCTAGTCACTTTTCTTTGATGGACCATTTATATTAATCTTTTTTTAAATTTAAAATTAAAAATAAAAAAATTTATGGTAAAATTCCCTTACCAACTTGATAAAGTCGACCTTCTGGAGAAAATACAGTAATGTATCTATCATAACCTGCACTTGTGCCTCTTGACATTTTGTTATTTGCAAAATTGTCCAGTAAAGGTTCTCGACCGGTTGCTAAAATAACCTCAAAACTTTTATTTGGACTTTTAAAAAGAGGTAACGGAAACAAAACCGGCTAAAAGTTTATTTATATATGCCATAAATATTATATATTATTATATATGGCATAAATATTATATTTATATATGCCATAAAATCGTATAAGTTCGGTCACATAAATAAAAAATTTTGAATTTTTTTACCTGAAACATACAGAAAATTATATTGATAGTTGATATAGTAAAAATATAAAAAATAAAAACTTGTACTTAATTTAAAATAAAAACATCTACTTTGACCGAACTTTCAATACTATCTCAAAAGTTCGGGAACTAATATCGTATCACAAACTTAACGTCCCAAATAATGAAAACTATTTTTTTAATGTTGTTTTTTTGTAAAATTACGATATAAATTCAGGTAATACCAGTAACTAAGGAGGGCGTCGCCCCAGGCTCAAAAAAATTCTTTTGGGGCACCAAAGAAAACAATAAGGAGCACATAAAAAAAGGTCTTTTTAAATATAAGTAGTAGTATTTTAAATTTTTATTGTAATTAGTCAATTACTTTACATTATCACATTTGCTACGCCACCGGTTAATACAATTAAAAATATATTTTTCAGTTAATTTAAAAAGGCTTTTTTCAATTAACAAAAAACACTAATTTGCTTTAAATGAGCTTTGTATATTTGTAGGCAATTATTGTATTGTTGACCGTACCAGAACAGCAAGATCCACACAAACAATCGTCACAGGATTCGCAACGCATCTATAATTGTCGTTGAGCTGTAATTTTATCTCCAAAAAAAATGTCACAAGCTTGATATTTTTTAGAACTCAAAGAACCGTCAGTAAATTTTGAAATTATGAACAAATTTTTTATTCAAATAAAATATCATGGTGCGCATCCATTATAAGAATGTCGAAATTTTTGAAAATTTTAACTGGTAAATTTACAGTTAAAGTTACCGGTAATTTTAACATTTGCAACACTTATCAATATTTTACAATATTACTCCTTCGTTATTTATCTGTGAATGACGCAAGGTAAAGTATTCCAAAATTTTACTAATTATCATAAAAATATAATAGTAGATAACTTTTAAAAATTATTATGACTATTTTGTAAATATAATCAATTTAGTGATTCTTAATAATAGTAAGATTAAATTTGATCATTTGTTTTAATAACTTGCTTATTTTAGATTTTAATAGTATGCATTTTTTCAAATTGTTGTTTGGGTGAAAAATTACTTCAGCAGGTTGCATATAAGTATTATTATTTTTTTATAGATTCATATTTACAAACTAATTAACATATTATTTGAGAAAAAAAAGTTTGTAAAAATTGAGTTTTGCATACTTTTTTTTATATATTTTTTTAAATGACCAAAGTTACATGGTGACCGAACTTAGGCGATTTTACGGTATATATATATATATATATATATATATATATATATATATATATATATATATATATATATATTTCTTTAATAAACAATTTATTTCTTATATGGAACTGTAGGAAAACAGTTTTGGTGGGGCTGAGATATTTGCATGGATTAGATATGATCCCATACCAAAGTGGGAGGATATTGAACAATCTTCTGAAGCTATATACAAAGTTCATGTTTCAGATGATCAACAAAAACTCAATATTGACAGCGTTTTTGATATGTCAAGTGCAAAAACATTTTTTGGATCAAAAACGAAATAGCGGAGTTCATTGAAAATCTAAATCGTCTATGTTGACAAATAGATCCAATTATTCAATCATTTTCAAGATAAGGACATTGATGTATTTAATCTGGTAAAATTTATTGAATAATTTTTGTGTCTGCCAGAAACATCTGCACCTAAAGAGCGCATTTTTTCAACCATGAAAAACATTTAGTCAGATAACCGAGGTCTTTCTGAGGAGCCTTCAGTACATATATTATTGTACTGCAAGTGGAACTTCGGCATTACATTTATTTATAAGAAAAACTAAAGAAAATTACAACTTGCTAAAAAACGTGCATTTTAGCAAGAAGTATAACAACTGTAAATAATTTTTTTTTTTTTTTGTTAGACTAAACAAATAATAAAAAATATTATGACATTATTGCTTTGCCCTAAATCTCATAAGCCCTTGAGCAATTGAGAAATTAATTTCTTCCTTTTTTATACAATGAAATCTAGTTGCAGGGTGCCAGTTTTTTGAAGCATAAAAAAACACTATTTCTCTCTTCCCCCCCTTAGTTATATATTTCAGCATTTTTCAACACCCCTTTCCCTAGTACACCTCTACCCTTACCCCTGCCTGTCGGGGTTTACAACTTCTTCTAAAAGTTATGGTAAACTATATCAAATTTTTATATTATGGTATACTATATCAAATTATGGTAATATATCAAATTTTTAAAATTTTTTTATTATATTACTTAATTGCTCAAACTGCTCAAATTTTTTGATTAATTCCAAATAAAAGTATTCAAACATTTTGTAAATCGCCTTAACTGCACCGAGTAGTATGTAAGTATAATTAAGTAGCCCATCTTTTGATTCTTAAACTGTTATCAAGATTTTGTTCTAATAGACACTCGATACTCAAAATCGTAAGATAAATTTTTCGATCTGGTCCCATAATTAAACGCAAAAAATTCTTGATGAAAAAATTATTCTCCGAAATATTGCTTCCTCTCCTTATTCTATTTCTGTTGATTCCGTATAATGTTCATTACCTTCAGTTTGCCCCCCAGCAAACTTTTGCGCTTCACTTTTTAATAGATTAGAAATTCAGAACTGATTATTGCAGTATCTGCAGCTAATTTCTTTTAAAAATGTTAAAAGACATTCTTCTCTTAAACAAATTCGAATTGACTGATAAATGCTTCAACTTTTTTTACCTCAATATCAATATTTGTCTTTCTTGCCTGAATAACCTGGTTGCAGCAACGAATCAATGAGAAGATTGCAACCCAAATTCGAAACATGATAACACATTTGATGAAGCCCATATATTTAAGGGCACATCTAATTTCAGTGCCTTTCATAGACGTAAGGCTTAAGCTTTGAATCTTTTCGATAGATTCATTGATTTGATTAGAAATGCTGTCAAGTCTCTCTGTCTATTGTCTAGATTACCCATACAAAGACACATCATGAAGCTTCTTTTTCTATATTTTCCAGCGTTTCTTTTGCAATACTTCCCAAGAGAGAAGATTGTATACACGGTTTCAACAGTTTAATTTTGCTGAGAGCATATATTCAGCAAGAGTGCTCGATGAATGATATCAGAGCTATATAATTAATTTTTTGACGAGATTGAAAAAACTACATAATTTTTACTACTAAAAGTTAGCAATCATCAGGTAAAAATACATTGTTTTTTACGTTAGAAAAAAAAAAACTATATAATAACGTCGTGACGTTCAAAAATAATTATAAAATGTTACTATTTGCAAGCGTGGTTTGGTTTTTTAATCTTTAGGCTCGTGGTTGTCAAGCAAGAACTTGTTTTCATGACGGCACTTAGATATTATTTCTGTTTTTTTTATTTAATAATTCTTGCGTACCTTTGTATGATATTATGCAAAGTTTTTCATGAAGGCAAAGCAAGCATTTTTTTGTTACGTTGCTGTAGGCGGGGACTTGTTTAATTATTGACCAGGTTAATTTGGGTGTTATTTTTAAGTTATTTTTATTTGCCATATATACTTTTAAAGGGTGGTTGAATTTTTCATCTTTTTGTTTGTGAATGAGTGTTTGTGGTGTACCTATCTTTTCTTCCATTCACCTTCTGCTAGGCCAATATATACTTTTTCTGGAGTGTTGGGAGGGGGAGGGGGTAATGCTATACATTTATGAATAACGTTTGAGGCTCTACATTTTCCTATTAAAGGGGAGTTTTCTTTATTTATGCAATTGCAGGGTGGGTATTCTTTTGGTATTTTTGAACTGATTTTTTTGTTGTGGCTTTTTATAATTCTTTCGATATTTTTGGTGCAGCTGTAATTCACTTTGATGGTGTTTCAATTGAATAGTTTACTTAGGGGGTGGGATGTTGGAAAACGTTTCTCGATTAAGTTTAGGAAGATATGTCCGACATTGGTAGAAACGCTTTTACTATACGGGGGGTTGAACCATATTATATTTCTTTTTCTTTTCTTTTTTTCTCTTTTTGGGGATTATACTTTAAATTAAAACCAGTGAAGTCATTTCTTCTTAACTCATCTTCGTATTCTGGTATAGATAAATTAAATGTTTGTGATAATCTGTCGTTGATAGAGATGGGAACTTGCTTTATTATTTGCCGAGGATGGTTGGAATCAGTGTGGATGTAACGTAGATATTCATTTGGTTTTTTGAAAGGTTGCTGGGAGTTTTTTTCTAAGTTAAAGGAAACGTCTAAGAAATTGACTGCTGGTAGGTTTGTTTGGATCTTTATTTTAAAACCGATCATTTTTATAACTTTAACTATGTTTTTTCGTAGGCTATCAATTTGTGATCCAGTTTTTGTACGAAGTACCATCAAACCATCGTCACGATATAGTCCAACGTCTTCTTTATTTATTATTTTAGATAGTGAGTCTAATATATATAGGCCCACCAGTATTTTCACCTGATGATTGCTAAACGCATGAAACTTTTAGTAGTAAAAATTATGTAGTTATTTTTTTAAACTCTTCAAAAAATCAATTATATATATATATATATATATATATATATATATATATATATATATATATATATATATATATATATATATATATATATATATATATATGGCGCCCAACAGTCATTGACTTTAACAGATATTTTAGGTTGTCTTCGTACACAAAGTTCTTAGGTACCGTGAAAAAGTTTATTTTTTACTTTTTAGTCCATTTCAAAGATATTGCTTTTTAAAAGTTTCTTTAAATATATTATATATTTATTTACTTTTTTAGTCCATTTAAAAAATGCTGTTTTCAAAAAGTTTTTTTTATATATTTTTTAACGATTTCTTTTATTTAACTAAATATTGTTTTGCAAAACCTTTTTGCAA